TTTTGAGCCAGAGCTGACTTCTGCTAGTAACATAGCAAATTTGGCTTTTAAATCAATAATATTTATTTCAAATCTTACCCAAAAAGATTAGATAGTTAAGCTTGAAGTGTTTCATAGCATAATTATAAAAAGATCTTCATATCACCTATCAAATCAACAGAAACAGGACAGCACCACAAAACTAAACCCAAGAACATATAAGAACAATGTAGAGGAAAACAGTTAGTCATCTTAAGTGAGCATTTAAGAACGGAATAGAGGAAAACAGATCCTTCTGTTAAAGTATCAAGACCTCAGTTTAGTTTGGCACATTTTTACTGAGTTTGTTCTAGACCTTGATGCTGGAAATTCAAGGACGATAAAATACAGAGCCAGTGTCTTTGTTGATAAGGACTAGTAGGGGTGCATATATCTTTTCAAATTAATGTTTTTATTTTCTCTGGTAAAATATCCAGAAGTGGAATGCTGGATCATATGATAGTTCTTTTTTTTTTTTCTTCATATGATAGTTCTGTTTTTTAATATTTTGAGAAACCTTCGTACTGTTTTCTGTAGTGGCTGCACCAATTTACATTCCCACCAACAGTGTACAAGTGTTCCCTTTCCTCCACATTTCACCAATACCTGTTATTTCTTATCTTATTGATGATGGCCAGTCTGCCAGGTGTGAGGTGATATATCCTTGTGGTTTTGATTTGCATTTCCCTGATGATTAGTGATAGTGCTATTGAGCATCTTTTCATGTGTCTGTTGACCACTCATATATCTTCTTTGGAAAAACTCACTATTTTCACCATTTAAAAATAGATAGTTACTCAGTGACATTAAGTGTATTTACCATGTTTTGAAACGATCACATTTATCTGTTTCCAGAACATTTTTGTCATCCTAAAAAGAAGCAGTGTCTGCCAAACAGTAATGTCTCATTGCTCCCTCCCCCATTCCTGTTAACCACTACTCTTTCTGTCTCTGTGAATTTGTCTCTCTGGGCACTTCATACACTGTCCTTTTGTGTCTGACTTTTTTTACTTAGTGTAATTTTTTCAAGGTCCATCTATGTTGCAATAGCATGTATCAGAATTTCCTTCCTTTTCGAAGCTGGATAATATTCCATTATAGATATATACCACATTTTGTGAATTTATTCCTCTATTGATAGTTACTTGGATTGCTTCCACCTTTTGCCTATTGTTAATAATGCTGCTATGAATGTGGGTGTATAGACATCTCTTCGAGACTCTGCTGTCAAGTCTTTGGGTGTGTAGACCTAGGAGTGAAATTGCTTGATGATGTGTTATTTCTGCATTTAACTTCCTGAAGAACTACCAGTTGTTTCCCACAAAGGCTGCGCCAGTCTACATTTCCACCAGCAAATTCTTGAGACTTTTCTGATTGCTTCACATCCTTGTCAAACTTGTTATTTTCTGTTTTTTTGTTTGTTTGTTTGTTTTGTTTTGGATAAGAGCCTTCTTGTGCGTATGTGTACAGTTGCTAAGTTGTGTCTGATCCTTTGCAACCCCATGAACTATAGCCCACCAGGCTTCTCTGTCCATGGGATTTTTCTGGCAGGAATACTGGAGCAGATGGCCATTTCCTCCTCCAAGGGACCTTCTCAACCCACAGACTGAATCCGCATCTCCTGCATTGCAGGTGGATTCTTTACCGCTGAGCTGCCTGGAAAGCCCAAGAGCCTTCTTAATAGCTGTGAAATGATATTTTTTGAATTACTGCCTTTTAAAGAGAAAAATTAAGCTTTCAATTTCATTCTTTGCTTTCTGATATTTAAAAAAATATTCGATAAAATCTGCTACAATTTCAAATCTTTGAATATAAAGAGTACGTCATATATTTGTTTGCTAGGGCTGCCATAACAACATACCACAGACTGGTGGCTTAAACAGCAGAAATTTACTTTTCTCACAGTCCGGAGGCTAGATCTGAGTCCAGGATTGAGGTGCTGGCAGGGTTGGTTCTCTCTGAGGGCTGCAAAGGAAGGATCTGTTTGGCTTTCCTCCTTGGCTTGTAGGCTTGCAGGCTTGTAGACCTCCTTGCTGCTTTGTCCTCGTGTGGTCATCCCTCTGTGCATGTGGACCCTTGGTCCCTCTGTGTGTTCATATTTCCTCTTAGACAGAGAGCAATCAGATTGGGTCAGGACTCAGCCTAACATCTTCATTGCAAGTTAATCACCACTTTAAAGTCCCTTTCTCGAAAGAAAAAGAAAAAGAAAGTCCCTTTCTTCAAACACTGTCACATGTTGAGGTATTGAGGGTTAGGGCTTCAATATAGGAATTTTGTGCCATCTACCTTTTCAAGTGCAAAGGTTATTTGGTGTGTTTCAAACAGAAAAAAAATTAAAACATGATATACTTTATATCTTCCTTAAGTATATTGCATAGTATGAGCAAGACTTTAGTATAAATATTACTTTATGCCATAAAGATCCTGGCACTCTCAGGAGTACTGAGGAGTATTCAGGTCAGCGTGCATATACCTTAAAAACCCCAGACTTTCTGAGTTTTTGCAGCTGGGGATTACGAAGGTTTCCACTTTTTCCAGAATCTGAACTTCTCCTTTTGTTCCCAAAAGTTAAAAGGATAGTCAAAAGTATTGTTGAACCTGCCAGATGATTTTTGATGATGGGCTAGTGCTTTCAGAGCAAAAACAGCTCCAAGTACTGCTCAATTCTGGGGATTTTCATCTATTCCATGAATAATGGTCCAGAAATCCTTCACTAATTTGTTAGCTCTCTGATGTCTACAGTGGTTTGAAAAAAAATACTTTGTCTACCCTTTCTGCATTTTTTTAGGAGAAGGGCTGATCTGAATTAAATTACCTAATCTGGCATTAGAAAAGAAAGTTCAGGATCATTTCCTTCACATAAGCTTTAGGGTTGACTCACTGAGATTAGAAAGTATATCCTAAAAATCTCATTTAATGAAATAACAAGTAGGTACTATATGAAACTTTTACTCTAAAAGGCAATAATAGAATGTAGTATTAGCATCTAACTATGAAATTGAAGAACTTAATATGTTTTCCTTTTTCCTCATCCTTGTTCAGGGTCTCCTGTACTCTTATTTTATGTTTATAATGATAGCCTGTATTACAGAAACCAAATCTGCCCCCACAGACATTCTAGCAGGTATATAGCCTAATAATCAATAAGCAAAGTGATTGGAGAAACTATATCTTTTGGTAGAATTTATAGTCTTTTTCGTTTCTTTTATCTTTAGGAGGGCTTTTAAAAATACTTGCTAGATCCTTGCTGGTGAGTACATTTTGTTCATTCCAGATGAGGAGCTTGTGAAGCCCGAGGAGCTTCTCTTCTAGAGACCCGGGGCTGCTCTGTAACCCCTCAGTGCGTTTAGCACTTCCAGGAGAGCTTGGGTGGTGCCCGATGTAAACACCAAGCACTGCAGCAGGCACATTAGAGTCTGTCTCTGCAGAAGCAGCCCTGAGATGGGAGATTTGCATCATTAGAGGGATAGTAGGATCATTTGCAGTCGGGAAATCAGGGGAGGGATGAATTGAAAGTTTAGGGGTAATTCTGCTTGAAAAAGTAGGAATTATGGAGATTATTTTTGTAAAGGCTGTGAAAAATCAAGAGAACTGGATTAATATTAACGCTTAAAAGCTTTTGTGTAAAGCATCTAATTTCTAGAGAAAAATTCATAGTTGCCTGTTAACAGTAATCTTTAGTCATTAAGCATTGAAATATATCATTGAAGAATTAATATAATCACATTTTTAATAAAAGGAAATGTAAGTATCATTGAATGAATTAATCTTCAGCTTAAGCAAAGCAATTATTTTTTGTTTTAATAGTGGCTTTTTAAAAAATGTAAGAAACACTGCCTTTTGGCTATAATCCTAAATCCCCTTCTGAATTTCTGAAGTGCTAGACTGAGAACAGTTGATAAACTTTAAAAACGTTGCTTTAAGAATGTTGGAAATCTAATACAATGTCTTCAAAATTCAAAATCGATGTTAATTGATTTTCTTGATTGCTTCAGTTATATACTTTTTCTCTATTTTATAATTCCTAGAAAGGACTTAATATTTCTCTGTATTTTATTAAAAACACAGTCTCATGTTGGTATTCTGCCAGGGTAGTATTTTATATCATTTAAAATGTACTAAACGGAAAATGAGTCATGGTCTGACTTTTTCTAGATCCTCAAGTTGTAATTATGTGCAATTTTTTTCTTGCTTGCTTTCTTATAAAAAGATTGACAAGATATGATAGAAGTAATGAAAATATTTCAGTGATTAGAGAAGTACTTGAATACTATCACTAAATAAACTTCTAGGACTACAATGTATTTTTTATTTTTACATGCTTTAGTAAAAAGCAATAAAATTCATAATGGATAAATGCAATAAATAGTTTCTAATGAGCAATTTATTCATTAGATGTTTTTCATTATTAGGGACATCTCTATTTTTTTTCCTATTAAATCTCATATACAAACATTTTCATTTTACAAATTTGACCTTACATATTTTTTATTAAATATAATATGCTTAAACATGTCATTTGGGAATTTTTCAATCCTAAGGAGACTGTATATTTTCTACTCTTTCTCCAAGCTATTTTACTGTTTTTTTTTCTATTTTTAAAAAGACCTCTTTGGTTTTTTGGAGAAGGAATTTGTGTATGTTGATACGGATTTTAAAGTACTCTTGTGGATACAAATATTGAGGTATGGAGCTTGAGAAATGTAAGACATGGACATGGAAAATAAAGTGAACAAGACACACTCACCAGCAAGGTTTTATAAACATTACAATGTTTAATAACATCAGAGTACCATTTAGCTTTTTAAACTTAGTTTTAAATAGTTCCATAGATAAATTCTAACCACAAGACAGAAGAACTGATTTCCTCCTCTTTCTCCCAGCTTTCTGGGGGTGGCGGTGGGGGAAGATGTCCTGTGTTACTATCAGCTCCTCTATATGTAACTGAAAAGTCCTGACAATGGCTATTCATTTTCACTTAGCATGGACATATATCAGGAAGCTACATGGCATCGAAGAAGAGTCAACATAGCAGAAAATTTAGAAGTAAAGAATATGATGAGTACAGTGCCTACAGTGATGACAACTTTGGTAGCTACAGTCAGGAAACTGAGGAAGATTTTGCCAGTCAGCTGAAACAATACAGGCAAGCTAAAGAAACCTCGAATACTTCTTTAGGATCATCTTTTTCTAAAGAACCAGGGAAAAAACAAAGATTGAAAGGAATTCAGCAAGGTAAGTTTGAAATTGTCTGGTTTTGACTATGAAAACTTTATTAAGATAAACAGGTAGCTATGAAGTAAAAACTTAAATTTCTTAGCCCTTTGTTATGGTCAGTTTATTCCTGTGGTTCCTGAATTTGTTTTTCTTTATTTTGTAGACCTTGAGGACAAAAATCTACAGATACTTCAATCTGCATGATATCTTAAAATTTGCATTTAATAGATTTCCTAATATTTTTAAAGTTTATAAAATGTAGAACAACTTTCCTGTTTTGCCTTTTCCCCTCTCTTCTATATGGTGTCAGTATACTGAAAAAAAATTGCCTATCCTTTTCAACTACTACCTTGTATTACTTTATATTTTAGACCCTATAAAGACAGAATCCTGGAAAGCTATTCTTTTATTAGAGTTTAAAATGTAGTGATCATCTTTGCTGTTTAAATATACTCAATACTATAGACTTTTTAAAAATATATGTATTTTATTGAAGTATAGTTGACTTAAAATGTTGCAGGTACACAGCAAGGTAATTCAGTTATACAAATACACAAATACTATTTTTGAAATTATTTTTCATCATAGGTTATTACAAGATACTGATTATAGTTCCCTATGCTATACAGTAAACCTTTGTTGTTGTTGTGTATCTATTTTTTAATTAGAAATCTAACATTCTGTTCATACTAAGCCAAACAAGTGGAATCAAAATGTCATAATTTTTTTTGTTAGGTAAAAATTCATAATTTTTCTAAAATATATGTATTATACATGTTTATACATATGTACACAAAAACTTTTCTACTATACTTGATAAAGTCTTGAGAAAGAACATCAAAGAATAATAATAAAAAAGAAGAGATCAAGAAATTGGAAAACATAAACTAAATGAAATGGGAGCACTGAATATGAAATAGAAAAAGTGAAACAAACTAGATAAAAATAAAAGATCATCATATAGTCCAGTTTAGTCAGTTCAGTCGCTCAGTTGTGTCCAACTCTTTGCGACCCCAAAGAGGAGGACTGCAGCATGCCAAGGGTCCCTGTCCATCACCAACTCCCAGAGCCTACTCGAACTCATGTCTGTCGCATGGGTGATGCCATCCAACCATCTCATCTTCTGTCGTCCCCTTCTCCTCCCGCTTTCAGTCTTTCCAAGCATCAGGGTCTTTCCCAATGAGTTGGTTCTTCACATCAGGTGGCCAAAGTATTGGAGTTTCAGCTTCACTATCAGTCCTTCCAGTGAGCGTTCAGGACTGACTTCCTTTAGGATTGACTGGTTGGATCTCCTTGTAGTCCAAGGGACTCTAAAGAGTCTTCTCCAACACCACAGTTCAAAAGCATCGTTTTTATTTATTTATTTATTTTTCAATAGCAAAACAGAATTTATTTATTTATTTATTTTCCCCCCATTTATTTTTATGAGTTGGAGGCTAATTACTTTACAATATTGTTGTGGTTTTTGCCGTACATTGACATGAATCAGCCGTGGATTTACATGTGTCCCTCATCCCCATCCCCCCTCCTGCCTCCCTCTTCATCCCATCCCTCTGGGTCATGACTGCTCATTAGAAACTTATCTGGAGCTCTGGAGAAAAAAATCAATACCTGAGCATTTGTAGTTTTCAAAAAGTTTCAAGATAACTCTGATATGCATCTGGAATTTAAAAAGTGATTACAGGTTTTTCTGTTAGATCCTAGTTTAGGTGATATGGACTTATATTATTTTTCTGTTGACCAATCATGATACAGTGGTATTAAGTGAGTAATAGTTACATAATCACAAGAGTAAAGGATGTTTATCAGTTTTCACAATCAATAGCCATACAAAAAATAAAAGAATTACAATTGCAAGCCATAATGGGAACAATGGGAACATAATGGATTAACTTAACAATATAAAGTAACTACAGTTTGAATGGGGGGAGTCAAGCAGAGTGGTGTGGTAAATGGAAGTGCATACATGCACATGCTTTCATCCACCCAACCAAGGACTATACACATTTTTCTGAATCAGAAATAAGAACAAAATCTAAAGAAATTTCTGGAAGATAACCTATTCATCTGTTATATTGAGGTACATCATCCCCGGGGAAACCAGGACAAGATTCCATAGAAATTATGGGTCACATAAGGGTCAAATCAGCCTTAAAAATTGTCTAGTTAGCATGTCTCCTTCAAGAAAACTGGAGCAAGATGAGGCTGAGGTGAAGCAGGGAAACCCAAACCCTACATAATTACTTTTAATTAGCATTGAAAAAAAGAATCCATTCTGAGTAAATTTGGTTATTTTTGTGGCTTTATTTTTTCTTGACTTCTTAGCAAAATTCCTTTGAAAAATGTGAACTGAGGCTTTGTTGAACTAAAGAGGAAGGAATTTGTCTATGCATGTGCTATTGTAATTAGTATGTTCGTTCCTGGAGTCCAGGCGTAGTGGTGTCCGGGATCATTCCACTTGGGGAGTAAAGAGAATGTGGAGTCCTTGTTCATCCATTCCTACCTGGGGTTTTTCCTTTCAGACTCCTTTTTTTCATTCTGTTAATGAATTGAGTATTGCATTTTATTCTGAATTTCATTTTTTCCCCCAGAATTAAGAAAGTAATATATGGTCAAATGCAGAAAATTTTTTCTATGTGTAAAAAACGATAACACAGCAAAGATCAAAGATAAAAACAATTTGAATCTCTACACTCAGGGACAATTACTATTAATATTTTTGGCAAACATTCTTCTAGAAGTTTTGAGAATTATTTTTAACAAAAAACTATACACTGTTAAAACTCGGTTTTTTTTTTCCCTTTAATTGTGAATTGTATTTCTGTCATTCTTACATTAATGAGTAGATTCTGATAGATGCACTGTAATTTATCTATTAAATTGCTAAATTTGTTAGTAATTATTTGACATTTAAGTTGCACCCATTTTTAAAAAATTCTGTGATTAACCCTGCATATTTATACATATCTCATCTTGGCAAAAATTTTTTTCCTAATAATAAATGCTGACATATAGAATTGAGTCAAAAGGCATAGGTGCATTTGAAGATTTTTGACCCATATACCAAGCTGATATCCAAAAAGGTGATATAGCAATTTATAACACTTCTGCCAGTGTGCAAAAATGCCAGTTTCTCCAAATTCCTACCACCTATTCTTTGAGGTGAAAATTGGTATGTTAATTTTTAATTTCTTTTAATGAAGTGAAATATTTTTTTCATGCATTTATTGGCTGTTTTGTAGATTTAAGATCATTGCAAAACTTACTAGTTCAATATGACTTTGGTAAAATGAGAAATCACTTTGTATTGTAACTTACTACCTTAATATATAATTTTTGTAATTTAAGTATCTGTTTAGATACTTTTAAACATCAAGTTTTTCAAAAGTAAAAGACAAGCATAAATTTTGCTTGGCAGTATATGTGATATCCAAAATTATCAGTAGAAACAATTTGCTACAAATTAATCACTAATACTTCATTGTCTTCCTTAGAGAGGAATGTAATATTTAATTCTCTTAAAAAACAGAAAACCTCCTTAATTGTGTATTCTAAGGAGAATTGAGAAGGATAAAACTAGATTTGAATTCTCCAGCCATGTACCTTGCCTTCCTTATGTTGCTAACATCACTTGAGAAACAAAACAATAAGAAACAGTACCTTAAAGTAAAATGTAAAGATGGAATTAGTTTTTTTCATTGAATCTAGAGGGAAAAAAGAATGCACTATACATTGTAAAGTATTTAAAATATGCTATTCTCTGTAAACTAGTAAGTTGGTGTGCTGTTTTATTTATAATATCTAGAGTACATTTTAACTTTTGTAGGTACTGAGCAGAGGGTTAAAAGTTTTAATGTTGCTCGTGGACGAGGTTTGCTGAAAAAAATCAAACGCAAAGACCGTGGCGGAAGGGTCAACAAAGGGCCAAATGTGTTTTCAGGAACTGATGACTATCATGAGGTAATGAGAATTTATGTATATTGAGGATTCTACTTTTTAACTTACTTGGCTGCAAAGAAAGCATTGTGATTTTAATGCTACTTTCCTAGTAAATGAAAAATTTCCAGTTCATATCAAATGAATATAGATGAATTCCAAAAAAAGTTTTGTTTTACTTAGTTATGATACTAGTATACAGATGAACATTTAGGTGACATTGAAATAAAATTGCAAAGTTTGAAAGCACTTCAAAATAAAATTGATATGTCTGAAAGCAAAAATTTTTGTTCTGTAGGTTCTCTGTTGTACTTTTCCTTCCTAGGGGTCATCTTCCCTAGACACAAATGGCAATAAAATGCTTGATAGCTCAATACGTGGCAGGACCAAGAAGGGAAACAGTGGTAAATTCTCTTACTTTTTAGAATTGAAATCCTTAAAAGAGAAGAAAGGAGGTATTAATGTTTGGAAAGATCAACTTAGGAACCATGTGTATAGTAGAGACTGAATAAATGTATGTTGAATTGAATTGAACTCTGAACAAATACATTTCAACCTTGTAGTGACTTTCTAGATTGTGGGCTTCCCTGGTGGCCCAGAGGTTAAAGCATCTGCCTGGAATGTGAGAGACCCGGGTTCAAACCTTGAGTTGGGAAGATGCCCTGGAGAAGGAAATGGCAACCCACTCCAGTACTGTTGCCTGGAGAATCCCATGGAGGGAGGAGCCTGGTAGGCTAAAGTCCATGGGGTCGCAAAGAGTGATTCAATTTCTGTATTCTGCCATTGTTCCAGTAAGATTTGATTGAATTATGCAGAGCACTGGTGAGTTATGAATAGCTGTATCCCTGATTGATAGAAAAGGGATAGTAACATTGAAATTAGAAAATGCTCAGTTTTCTAATCTCTGGGTTTAAAGATAACAGGCAAAGATTTTTTAATATATACTCCTTTAGTATACTGTTCAGGGAGTTGCTAACAAGTGTGACCTTAAAAAAAAAGTTTAGGACCAAATAAATTTGTGAAACCCAGCACATACTGCTCTACTCTGGTGATTCTCAGTTAACATGAATGTTTAAAGGCTCTGAGCAGATTAGGCAGAAGGAAGTCTGTTTGACTTTGTTCAACCCATCATTTCCAAAATTTACTTGACCATGAACTCTTTTTTTTCCCCCCACACACCTACAAACATTCACTCTTAATTCTTTTTTTTTTAAGGATTTATTTATTTATTTTTTAACCAAATCTTATATATATATATATATATATATATAGCATATCCATTAACANCTGTACTAATTTGCATTCCCACCAACAGTGTAAGAGGGTTCCCTTTTCTCCACACCCTCTCCAGCATTTATTGCTTGTAAACTTTTGGATAGCAGCCATCCTGACTGGTGTGTAATGGTACCTCATTGTGGTTTTGATTTGCATTTCTCTGATAATGAGAACATTCACTCTTAATTCTTAACTCACTGTTCTGTGCAAATAAGCTTAGAATTTCTGGGAAACTATAACCTGCTTCTCCATCTTTCTAGGCACCTGTGGTTGTCTAGGATGTGCTGCTTTCAGTGGACCAGATTAATCTGAATACTTTCTGAGTAAACCTTCTCCTGTATTCGGTACTTATACCCTATATCTGAAAAAGAAATTAGCTTCCAAGAAAGTATGGTTTTGAGTGAGTTACTGCCTGTCTCTGAGCTTCAGTTTGCTTAACCTGTAATATTACAGTACAGTATTAAATTAACTCTCATGGCCCCTTCAAGCACTGACATTTTAGATGTTTCCAGATCTAGCCTGCAATTAAAAAGTTCTTAATCTTGTAATAGAAAATCAGAATCAAGTCTTTCCTGTGCATTTATCAGCTTTAGGACATTTTTCCTTTCCTAAAGAATCTGCCTGTCAAGCAGGAGACATGGGTACTGTCCCTGTATCAGGAAGATCCCTGGAGAAGGAAATGGCAACCCACTCCAGTATTCTTGCCTGGGATATCCCATAGACAGGGGAGCCTAGCTGACCATAGTCCGTGGGTCACAAAGAGTCAAACATGATGGAGTGACTACAGGGGTTCCCAGTGGCCACTACTGGTAACGAATGTACCCGCCAGTGCAGGTAGGCATCAGAGGCCTGGGTTTGACCCCTGGGTCGGGAAGACCCCCTGGAGGAGGGTGCAGCAACCCTCTCTGGTAAACTTGCCTGGAGAATCCCATGGACAGAGGAACCTGGTGGGCTACAGAGGACAACTTGGCACATTTTTCAGTGGGTTTTATTGGGGGTGGCGGTCATTACCTAATATTTTTACTTTTTGATTTCAGAGTTATATTCCTCAAGTTGGCTCTTTGACTTCGCATGGTGCTCTCTTTGGCTGCCTATTTCATTACAGCCACAATCCTTGTTAAGAAGGCATATGTGAACTGGTCTTATATCTACTTGTTCTAAGTGAGCCTAGAAATAGAAAATGTTTATAAAAAAATTTTTCAGTTCAGTTGCTCAGTCATGTCTGACTCTTTGTGACCCCACTGACTGCAGCATGCCAGGATTCCCTGTCTATCATCAACTCCTGGAGCTTGCTCAAACTCATGTCCAT